ATTGTCAGACATGATCATAGCCTCTTATATGGCAGCATAATCAAAGAGCTTCCTGTTTGCTGTGCCAAAATAAATGATATACTTCTAGTTTACAATGTCTATTATTGGATAATAGCTTGTTGGTCACTTAGGTATTTCAACATGTATTTTCAAGTATCTGAATTACCCAGGTCTATTTAGAACAAGCAGAGTCAAACATTTTACAACATCCGATACCAGATAATTCTTATGTATGAATTTAGCTCCTTCATATATGGTAAAAATAACTGAACAAGACAAAATCAGCTAATGGTTTCCTACAGCAGGTCAGAACTGTCCTCACTCAATCTGTGTAAGACATTAAGTCTCTTCTTCTTTAATCATGTCTAGTCAGATTCCACAGTGGCATCTTCTCTTCAAACAAACCATCTGCAACAAGAGGCCATGTTTGTCCATGATCCACATCATTACATTTCAGCTCCAGCGCAAACCCTCTACCCCAACACAGGAGCTGGAGCCTTCATCCCCACCCCCTCCACCTTTACCTTACTGCAAAGTAAACCAGGCGTTAACTTTATTCTTTAAACCACTTAACAGCAACCCAATGAAACTCCAGCTTCAGTGCTACTTTCACATCTTGGATCATCCTTTTTTGTTGAGGTCTTGGTGTTATTTCCTTGGGTATAATAATAGCCTTTATGCTTTTTTGAATATGGAGGAGACAGACAGACTTCACCTACAGTGCCACATGTGTTTTGCTCATCAGTAGGAAAGTCAGTTATTACCAGATAAGTGTAACAAAGACACAAGTCCACATATAGTTTTTCATTTTCCTTGATAGGGATTCCCTTGAGGAATACCACAAAGTTCAAATATAATTGATCTGTTATCACATAGGACACGTGGGTATTGCAGGCGTTACGTTAAAATTGCTCCAGGGTATCCGTCTAAAAGTGGAAAATAAGTTCAGCTTTGTATCCAAAACTTACTGTATAGAATCTGACTACATGATCATCAGATGATGATTCAGGTAAAAAGAAGCTCTTTATTTGTAATGTTGCTGCCAGAGATTACTTCATCAAGATTTTTTCAAGAGATTGAGCCTTGTAGAGAAAAGCAGGAGCGAGTCGCAACAAAGCACTGAGGAATTTAATAGCAATTCCTTAGTGAACAACACTACCAAAACATTTTCTCAACTCTTATGAAAATATTTTGAATATAAACCAATACGACAAATATTCTCTGGAAAAAAGATGTTTTCCCATGTCTATTTTGGGGGGATTCTTTCCCATCAAGTCTATTTTTGGAAGAATAAACTTGTCGAGGAAGTATTTTGGCCTTTTGATATTGGATTTTGAGAGTGCCAGAAGTGTGCCTGTGTGAAGGAAGTGCCTGCTGTCTTGTTAGATCTTGCCCTCCAAACTGCGTCTAAGTATGCCTACAAGTCTACCTATACAATTAAACCCGGCACATCAGATGATTCACAGAGCATATAAACATCACTTTTTCCACTTGAGTAATGCTTCTGTATATTACTGCCAGGATCTCAGCTGCAACCCATTCCACCCAAGTTAATCCTTCCTTTATCACATTAGCAGATGTGTTCGTAGACAGTTAAAAATGTACGTAAAGGCACACAGGTAAGAAAATATATTACAGTAATTAACTTCCCATTTGGCACAAAAGCTAATTTACATGGATATATTTCATCAGTTAGAATGTTAAGTACTGTCAAAGCTATTGTATCATAACTTCATGTAGCTATATCAGATCTCACTGTAAGCCAGGCTACAGGTTTTGCTTTGCTTATGTCATTGAAGGTTGATGTTAAGGAAGTACCAGACACATTAACTGGAAGAAAGGCCGTTACCTACCAATGGAGCAGGTGAAGAATGCGTTAAGAGATTTCATGCAGACGGTAACCAGGCATCCTCTCTGTGTGGGAGCTTCTCAGAGATAGAAAGCGATATGCACGTCTTTGTTTTGTCCTTTTGCTGAAGTGAAAGTATAGATTAGCAATTGATAATCATAAGAGGGGGACATTACATATATTACTCTGACTTTATAGTGTTCTATATTAGTGATTTCTGTTTATTTATTCATAGGATTGATCAGTTGCAGCCTTCACCAGTTCCCATTAGAGTGTAAAATGGGAGGTAATTGTGCATCACTGTTGTTGAATGGATCACATTACCAGTTATGGATCAAGTGACCATGAATCAATGAGCTTGGCCCTGAAGGTGAACATCATTAGGCGGCCTGACGATCAACTGGAAATCAATATCAGTGATGGATTAACAGAGTGGGCACCAGGAACACGATCCAGTCGGTTTGATCGTCCCGTTTCAAAATGAAAGAGAAAGCTTCTCCGCCAGAGTCAGTTGGACACTGTATCACAGTGAAATGTGCACCCCCAGCCCTTTACTCCACCCATGTACAAAAACCTCTCCTGAGTCACCCTGGGAGAAACATTTAGCCCGTTTAAAGTGTTGCACGTAAATTCCGTTTTGCCTTGACAGTTTTACAGGCCTATTGTTGCTCTTTGCCAAAAAAATGGAGGCTTTGGTGAGTTTGTAGGGTCATGAATCAAGGGAAGGAAACCTTATTTAACTCATGTTGATGTGGGGGTCAGTCACACAGACAGGGGAGCCACAGCCTGTTAAATGAACTCTACTCTAATAAGCACAGACATACTTAAATGATCAACACTATCTATCTAATCTATAGATAACTATTGGACTATCTAGATATCTAATATGTTCCGTTGTTGCTGCATTATAGCACTTAAGATGTAATTTTCTGTGTTCTTTTAAATAGTTTGATCTCCATGATGTTTGTTTTACTGATGGTGCAGCTGTCAGTCGTCTGG